TTGCAAACCCCCAAATATTATCTTTTTATATAGTCATGTTATTGCTTGGTTGCTCCTGTAGCTTTTAGCGGCAGCCTTGACACTTCTGACAAGCATAAAGGGGTGCCTTCACACAACACAATTCTAGTGTCATGATTCCACTTTAATTGCCACAGCTGCATCCTATTGACTCTGTGATATGAAGTTTCATGACGCATTCAAGTTGTCTGACTAAGAATTCTAAATACTTCAAGGAACTACAAATCCCAGGATTCTATAGAATGCAGGCAGGGCAGTTAAAGTGGAATAATGTAATGTAATTGTGTAGTGTGGGAAAAGAGCCACAGACAATGATATTGAGTACAAGAATTCAGTATGGTGAGAATCTTATTTGTTGCTTTACAAAAAATCCTGCTGGCTGGACCTAAGGGAAGAAGATACAGCAGGGCACTCTCCATCTTCAGACCAGCTGGGATCAAGTGTCATTTGACTCTTCCCTTTCTAATATCATCTCCCTCAGCAGCCATTCAGTCTGATCATTATTACACATTATTTAACATTACATAGCTTGGAAAAGTTACTTCTTACAATGACAACTTCCAGAACCCCTCAGCGAACATGAATAGTGGTCATGGCACTTTAAAATTTGCTTTTATCACACTAGACATCAGATGCTCATGTGATATCCTGGCTCAAGAATAGAAACTGAAAGGAATTATGATGTAAACCCAGGGCTGGGGATCAAGCCTTCTAAACATTCATAGAAATGGTTAAATAGACTGCAATCCTTCAAAAGTGAGTTTAATTTCTGCATGTAGAAGGTTTCAAACTGAGTATTCAGAATTTCCTCAGACAGCCTCTGGATATGATGAGTGACAACTCCCATTATCCCCAGCAAGTATTCCCATTGGCTGTACGAATTAAGGATGATGGACTAATTTCCAGGACTAATGGCAAGCCTAACTGAGTCTCATCTTTAGGATACATGAGCAGGGAGAACACCCTATAATGCGCTGAATGCTACAAATCTCATGAAACTACAGATCCCAGAATTCCACAGCATTGAGCCATGGCAGTCAAAGCGGTGTCAAACTGCATCAGTTCTGCAGTGTAGATGCAGCTTTGCAGATGTGTCCTGCCTGAGGCAGAGGAGGGAATCAGGTAAGCCCATATACCAAGCAGATGATGAGTGCTGAAGGGGAAACCACTTGGAGTTGGGAAAAGAGGACTTAAAAACAACAACTACAACTCCCAGAACCCCCTGTTTGGGGCATTTGGGGAGTTGTAATCCCAAGAACAGTCACTGTCCCAACTTAATTCTTGTTTCCAAACTTTGATCCTCCAGGTCTTTTGGACTTGAGCTCCTAGAAGCTTTAGCCAACTTGGCCAACAGTCTGGAATTCTGGGAGCTGAAGTCCAAAAAACACCCGGAGGACCAAAGTTTGGGAGCCTTTGAATTCTCTTAAACTGAGAATTCAAAATTTCCCTGAGAAATACCCTCCGCAGGTGTTGAGCAACAACTCCCATCATCCCGAGCAACATTAGCTGGGGGATAATGGGTGTTTTAAGCACAACACATCTAGAGGAGGACTCCAGGTAGAAGAAACTACTGTATATACTCAAGTATAAGTCTAGAAATTTTAGTCAAAAAATTGACCCAGGTAATCTGAGGGCCTTTACAGACTGCCAGAAATAATGCAGCTTGAGTCCA